TCTGCGTTGAACTGTTATAATTTCCAGGCCACTAGTTAAGGCGCAGGCACTGTTAACAGCTGTAGTCTACGCGTCAGAGCCAAAGTCCTCCTTCGAACCTACAACCACGTACATTCCACTTGATGCAGTGTACGAGATACGCATGCTATGTCACTTTAACCCCCCGGTTTATTTGCACTCTATAATCCTCTGTCTAATTTATGAAGTCTATCGTACCTTCTTACCAGCAGGCCCCATTGTTTGGTTAACTTCACTATGCTGACTATCAAGGATTGAAATAAGAGGCAATTCTTTAATAATAATAGTGTTAATCAAATTGAGAAGCCTGGAGCTTCTACAATTTTGCCTAAAATTGGCTCTCACTTCTGTGCTAAAAAGAAAAGCATAGTACAAAGTCCACAAATCAGATAGAAACTGCTTGCCGGACACTTGTTGCATTTTGATGAGTTACATGTCAAACTTTGAGACAGAAAAAATTTGCAAATAAGCAATTTTAGACACAATATTTCTACATCTATAACATTACATAGAGCAAATGTACATAATATAGACTCAAGTTAAGAGTATCGATCTAAGAAGATAAATAAATGCAGGAGACCTGCCCAAATTATTGATTATCCCAGAGGTGTGTGGCCGGGCATTAATTACCTCAGGTGACAGTTCTACACTATATTGACTGATTACAGGTAAGATAACAGTGCAGACTCCAGTATGACTAGCTGGGGTAGACCAGGTATGCTGTAACTCTGGTGAAATCAACCAGAAATCATGTCTCCTGTTATAACTGAACAGCGACACACATGGTAATTTACCATGTCACTTGATCAGCAAGACAGTTTGCTCTTGTCGAGGTTAAATAATCAGAATGTTTTTTTTTATCTTAGACCAAATAAGATGTAAAGGTATATTAGTATTTATATGTAGAACATAGCTTGCAGACTCATCCTTCTTAGCACACAGTACACCAGTGTTGACAATCTATTCAGGTGATATTGGGGGAGGGGTTTGAATCTTGCAGTGCTGCTATTTCTTTGGTCGACTTATGTGTACCATAAACTAGGAGCGTATTTCTAAAGACAAGAAGTCCTGACTCAGCTTCCATAGTTAACCAGACTGCCGTGAGTAAACACATTTAAACGGACACAAAGGGGAGGAATTTGTGCATGTTTGTATAATATACCGTCACCCCCCCTCGCTAAACACTGCGTGCGCTTTGTGCTGCAATCCCAGGCAAACAATTGGAGCAATATGAAAAATAAACGCAACCTTAGAATAACAGTAAAAGTGGGCAGAATGTGGTAAAGACATGAAGTGCTTCCATTTCAAAGCATTATTTCTGTTGTAGCCTTCGGTGAGGGATGATCGTTACTATACCAGGAATGCCTGGATGAACGTTCAATTATCCTCTCTAATTATACAGGGCCACCCAAGTCTTTTGTGTCATGGAGTTTAAAATCCCCACTTAACCAGCATCCATGCAGTATTCTAATTTATTGAAATGACCGTGATAGCAGTCAGTACCTGGACCCAGGTTGTAGGATTAAATTCATACAACTGAGTTGCGATATGGGGCTAAGAAGATTCTTTTTTTTCTCTTTCCCTTGGTACCACTATATGTACATCTGATCTCTGAATTTTGTTCAGTTTAATACAAGTTTTACCAGTTAACAAACTTGAAATACAAACCATGATGACATTCACTTAAAATTCACTTTGTTTTTTTTTTTTTTTTTTTTCAGAATTCAAATAAAAAAAAAAACATTCTTCAGAACTTTTTGAAGTTGATTAAAGAGTCCCCATAGTCCATTTTTCATTAAATATCACCTCATTCTTTCTTACTGGAACTTTACAGCAATATCTTCATAGAGAGAAAAAAAATTCAATTTCTGACACATGTAACACAGCCAGAGGTCTGGAATTTTTTTGTTCCCAGCTCCAAAGAGACACAAAAGCTTTTGGCCCAGGATTAAGTTGGCTATCACAGAGCAGTTCTTTGTGTGTCTGTGCCTGAGCTAGTGCTACCTTTAGCAATGGAGGCTAATCAAATCACCTGGCGGCCTTGGCTGATGTCCGCCATACAAACCAGCCTGTCAAATGGATATTCACCTAGTAAGATTAATGATAGTTGTTATGGAATTCCTATCACTGATTGTTGTCAAGACTTTGTTCACCCCGTTGATGACCCATACCCCATAGAATGTGGAAAGCCAGCCAGACGAAAGGCAGTTTTTTTATTTGGTCATTATTGTCTACTGGACGCGTTGTATGAAATATATATATAAAATTCAGACTTTAGAATTGGTCATTAGAATTAGCCAAACAGGTGCTCCTTTATGCAGTACATATTTCTTCAAAGTCTAAATCATAAGTGCCCACTTTTATTACTGTAAGTTTACAACTAAACCCATTCTGTAAAGGCCCAGCTGGGGGAGTATTTATTCTCTTGAATACTTCATAATTATCCCCAATGCTTTCCACACTTAGTTCACCTTTGTTTAAATTTTGCCCCACTTTACTGGACATAATTCAATATCAACAATTATTTCTGGTCACTTAAACACTTGGTGGTTGGAGGAGAATAGGTACGAGCAGACTTTCTCTCTATTGAAATGGAAGAAAGATTACAGCCCAGTTTAACTTCAAGGGGCCAGTATAATATGTACCTGGTCGCTATCTAGACAGGGGGCCTGCAGATTTCATCTCATGTGCAGTTAGAGTGACTAAGTTTTTCAACATAACTTCTATTGGAGGGTTGCATGTCTAAGGACATTAATGAAGAATGAAGAGGCGAAAAACAGGCCCACTCCTGTCATCCCTGTAAAATGGGTAATGGAATAAGGAGTTGAGTTGCCCCCTTGTGAAAGATCAATGGGTCTAGACTGTCCAAACCTGTCTCTTTCTCTCTCTTTAATACATCTTGGACACTGTCTTGGTGGAAAAACAAGACTTTTCATATGTTATACCAATAAAACCTACCAAAAAAGATCTACAGTTCAAATCTAACTTTCATGATGTAATCTCATATGTAGTCCTCCTAAGAATATTCTACCATTTCCTCTCGTGTCATGACAAGATCCATCTACAATCCATATAGAACCTGGCTTTCCTCCGAATGACTATTTGTATTATGCTTAATGCTAAATACATTTAGTCAGGAAATTATAGATCTAAACAATGTTTAACTGGAGAAATCTGTTTATGCAGATATATCATTATGTTCAAATAGATAATTCAACAGGAACATTCACAACTTTGGGTCCCTTTATATTTTTTCTTTCTTTGAATCAAACCAAGTGCCTAAAAAAAGGCTGATATTTTCAAGACCCTGTCACAAAACCCAACATAGACATTGCAGTTTAAACATCCCTCATTTGTGTATATAAACTATCAGACTCTATGTATATTCCTGAAATAAAACGTGGGAGAAAAGTGTGATATTTAAAATTTGTTTAAAAACTACAATATGAAGTGGTGCACTTACGGTTAGTATACATGTATGGGCAGCGGTATCCTCTGGGATGGAGACATTGTAAAAACTCTGATCAAAGGCAGGCTGGTTGTCGTTGACATCGCGTATTGTAATAATCACAGTGGCAGTGGCAGAGAGAGGAGGAGAGCCAGAGTCCATCGCTTGGACCAACAACCGCGGCTGAGAATCCACTTCACAGTCGATAGGTTTACTGGTGGTGATCAGGCCAGACATGGTGTCTATTTGGAACCAATCTGAGTGAGAATCTGGCACATTTAATATACTGTACTGGATCAGGGCGTTGTCCCCCTCATCTTGGTCCGTGGCGTTCACCTGGATCACAAATGAACCCGCAGAAACAATCTCCTTGATATCAGCACGATATTCCCTCGCTGTGAACTGGGGAGCGTTGTCATTCACATCTTCCACTTGTAAATTAAATGTGATGTTGGCGTTAAGAGGTGGTGTACCACTGTCCGTTGCTGTTATTGTCAGCATATGATAAGGTTGTATTTCGCGATCAGGTGGATTTTTTATGATTATCAAATACACTGTGTTGTCCCTAGTTGTCAACCCAAAATGACCCCCACCCCCCTTGAGTGTGACATTTATATTTGAGAAGACTCCTGAGCCATCTTTATCGCTAACAGTCACCCTGGCAACGATCTGACCAGGATTGGCCGCCTCGGATATCTTGGGAGTATTGTCGTTGGAGAAGAAAGTCAGGTTAATGCGCGGCTCATTGTCATTCACGTCGACCACCTGTATGGACACAATTGCACTTGTCTGTAAAGGTTGGCTTCCGTTGTCTTTAGCGACAACGATGAGCTCGTGTGCTCCTTTCCTCTCATAATCCAGTGGCTTATTTACATACACAATTCCTGTGTCTGGATTGATACGGAAAAATTCTTCTTGATCACTATTTATTCGATCTATATGGTACATAATATGGCCGTTTTCACCACTGTCCTGATCTGTGGCAAAAACCTGTAAAATACTTCCTCCAACAGTGGCGTTTTCCAAAATCTGTGCAGAATATCTGCTTGCATTGAATATGGGTTGATTATCATTGTCATCTATTATTGTCACATTTACTCTCATTTCTCCATATTTAGGTGGTGAGCCATTGTCATAAGCCCTGATGAACAAATCGTACTCACGGGTCTGCTCGTAATCCAGAACCCCAATTACTGTTAAATCTAAGTACAAAACATTGCCATTTTGCTTGGACACAAGTCCAAATGCAGAGTTTGTATTTCCACTGTGGATCTCGTATCTACTGACAGTGTTATCTCCCAGGTCAGGGTCGACAGCACTGCCTAGCACATGCTTGGTGTTAATTGGTGTCTTTTCTGGTAAGATTAAATGGACAACATCCACAGGAAACACAGGGTTGTGGTCATTAATGTCCAGTACACGAACCGTGACCTGCATGAGTAGACCAGAAGAGGACAGTACCACAGAGAAGCTATAGGAAGACTTTTCTTCTCTGTCCAACACTGCAGCTGTTGTAATATTCCCCGTGAAGGTATCAACATGTATTCTGTCATTGTATTCTGTCCCTTGCCAGACCACAAAAAGATAATTATTCCCTGTGTTTAGATCGCCAATAAAACTACCTATAGGTTGTTCTTCAGCAATAGAAAATTCAACATATCTTGCAGCTTGTGCCTTCGTTGACAGAAATTGCATAGATAAAACGACCAAGAACAACAAGCAGCGTCTCTCCAAGCACCTGCACGTTGACTCCATGTTGACCAAGTATCGGCCAACTTTTACCTGTTTGATCCAAGTTTCAGGTGTTCTTAATTTCCGAAGTTCAGTCACAATCTGTGACTACCTGCTTCTCTGTTCATCCAGTAACATCAAAATCTTGCATAGTACATATAAATTGGGCAATAAATGATAACAATATCGAACTGATTTTAAATCTAATTCGTCTTAAATGCAGCCTAATCCATTTTCACGTTGTACGATAGCAACAGTAGTATTTCGCAGCTTTGTCTTCTTGATCGTGTCTTATATGAAGTCGACTCAACATTTAAGTCCACAAAGTGTTAAGTAGATGTCTGGATACTTATCTCCGATTGCCGTTTTCACGTTCATCGGTTGTCTGTATCCCCTTTCCATGATGAAATGAGAGTCATCTCTACTCTACAAACTTACGAGCTCCCTCACTCCACACCGACTATTCACCAATGCCAATGTTTATGTAGGTCAGGGCTCCGTAAGGAGGATCAATATGCATAATTGTTGCATTTTTACATATTTCCTTTTTCTTGGCATATATTTGGTAAATATATTTATTTTATTTTTCTATAGACGAAATTCGATAGTTTTATTATATATCTGAGAGATTTTATTAGACTGAATAAAACGTAAAAATAAGATAATCCTTTCGTGCCTTTTCCTTACGTCACGTGACAAAGCCATCGCAGAACAACGAACTACAGCACTAACGCCGGGCTGATTTTTAATTGAATTAGATTTTGTTTCGTTATATTAACGAGATCAGAATTGGGCAACTTAACGCCAATCTCTACAATTTTAAAACTGAAAGTTATCTAAGAGGTGTGACATTACCAAATGAAATCATGAGACGGAGTGTGTTCAAATCATATTTGGCAACGAGCACCCCAAATGTGTTAGATGCGACTGTCTCATCCGTTACAATATCTTTCACAACCCTGGCAATTCTTCAATTTAAGACTTAAAAAAATCGATATGATAATTCATAAAATTTTTAAAAAATTAAACATGTAGATCTATAAACACAATTTTCTGACAGGATTGTTTAAACGGATGAAGCGGTCTAAATTTTTTTCTTTTCATTAGGGGATTTTGTTTGGCAAAATGACAGGTTTAATGACACATTTGAAAGAAAAAAATATATATATATATTAATTTTTTTCTTTTTGCAGTGTATTTTGCTATATTCAAACTACTATTGCCAAATCATATTTTCATTCTACATTAGTATCAAGTTGTCATGAACTACTAATCCTCCAACCACCAGATGCTGAGAATAATTTATAGTTTTTTCTTTCTGATTTGTGAGTTCAGTAATTTTGAATATTGAGGGTGTCATCCTAGGGATAGGTAATACAATGCACATTTCATCATGACAGTTTAAGTTTTGTTTTCCCTATAAAAATGAAAATTAACAGAGCAATTTAGCCAGAACAACATATCAATAACAATTAGAACAACTTATTTTACATTTGTCTCTTATATGTCTCTTTTATATTGATATAAACACTAACAAAATTTCTATTTTATAAAGTTTTTCATTGTAATTTTCATCACCAGTGATTATTATTATTATTATTATTATTATTATTATTATTATTATTATTATTATTATTATTATTATTATTATTATTATTATATTTTTGTGTTTTGATTAGTGTGCACAGATAAATGTTTCAAAAGAAAATAGAAATGAAATGACTGGTACCATAATAATAATAATAATAATAATAATAATAATAATAATAATAATAATGAAATGACAATTAAAAAGAAAAAGAAAAGCTTGGAAAAGACCAGGGTGGCTTATCTTGTAAAGTGACTTTTGTACCACTTCCGGTGGAGGTGTCAACCCGAAGGAGGTCACTGATACTTCACACTGGTCACAAGTAGAGACCTCTTATCTACCTGGACGAACTGAGCCCTAATATGCGGACAAAACGTAGCTGATTTCCTGCGATTGAGAAACGTAAGTACCAAATGATCGATCAAAGTTTGATAGATTTATCATACTGTACAAATTGTGAAATATGCAATGAAATTGTTGTCACTCTTTGTCTCCCATAATTTTACTTTGTTACTAAGTTAGTTCTCTTGTTTATTGTTGGTATCAGGTATCGCTGTATGATTTATGTAACAAAGGTCGGGTACACCCCACAGTAAATTAGTGGATTTATGAGGGTAAGTATACTTGAAGTGGACGAGTTGACGAAAAAAATGTGGCAAATACCGTCAGGTGACAAATTGAAATAATCAACCTATTTTACGCTCTCCCGTTTACTTTATGTTCACAGTGGTACTAGTGCCTGAAAAAATGAAAGTTTTAGATGAACCGATGTTCAGTGTCTAACCCTACTAGTACACTGTCAGGCAGCCTGTGGCTAACCCTACTAGTACACTGTCAGGCAGCCTGTGGCTAACCCTACTAGTACACTGTCAGGCGGCCTGTGGCTAACAATTTTTATGTGAACCTTTTCACCCACTAACTAGTAGGTTGACCTAAATTGGTAAAGAAACAAGGTCAAATCAGGCCAAAAATGCAGTTATTCCAACCCCCTAGCCACCCTCAAATATGGGCTTGACTGGGGTCTTGAACTCTCATGTTTATAAACTTTGCTACTGGTATACTCAGTATGTTTCTTCCCTTCATAAATGTCACCTCTGAATAAACAGAATCTGATATACAGAAGCATACTATTACTAGTAAGATGCAGGTGACAGAATACTTGTGATCCTGAGTCACTGATCAATTCACTAGCTATTATCCATTTCTCACTTTATACATGCAGCAGTTAACAGCTGAAATCACTTGATAATACTTATTATTATTATGATATATGATAATTATCATATTTGTGGTTCAGAAGGTTTGTCATATGAACAGGTGTTTGGCCAAATGAGTATAGGTGTTCTATTTCCTATGTAGTATTGAAGGCCCTCATTGCAGTGTTCAGTATTGTGTTAATTCATAGTGTAAGATGAGATAGTTTCTCATAAAATCCATGCACAGTTTTGTCTGTATTCACAAAGAGGAGGATAAATGGAGGTACCGAACACACAATTTTTGTACAAATTGTTCTCTTGTAATGCATTTTTATATTTATCTTTTTTAGACTGTTTGGTACATTTCTGTCCTTTATTTCCTAAATGTGCATGCATGCAAATACATATACACATGTGATACAGGTTATATTTGTTCTCTTATCTTTGCATATTTAACTTTATACTTTCCAGATAGAGAGTTCTATAATGGAAGCCAGTTGTCTCACCAAGACCCACACTTCAGAGGAATCTTTTCCCGAGTATGTGGGCTTCATATGTGCTGGTGTCGCCGTGGTTTTGTTTGGTAGTAACTTTGTTCCTGTCAAGAAGTTTGAAACTGGAGATGGTGAGTGTGGAAGTTTACTTAGTTGTCCTTCCCCCAGTTATTTCAGTTTTTATCAAATGAGTGAATATAGAGTAATACTAACAGGTATTTTAGTGAGTTCTGAAGAATTTTGATAGATAAAATAGCCTGCTCTGTGAACAGACAGTTACCAGCCCAGCAGAAGGTCATCTTAAGTATTAGATCTCTGATAACAACTTCATGCTTTCTGTAACTGTAAAATAACAAAAAAGTAAAATATAATAAAGGTTGTATAAACATTAGGATGGTGGTAATGTTCTAGAGAGTTATAATTGTTTGTCACAGAGAGTATACCTTGTAACTAAAATCTTATATAAATCTATTATATATACATTTATTATATGTACATGTATGTAAATCTTATTCAGGGATGTTCTTCCAATGGGTGTTATGCAGCGCTATCTGGTGTGTGGGTCTCATCGTGAATGCCATGAGAGGGTTCCCGCCATTTTATCCACTTTCCATGTTTGGAGGATTCCTTTGGGCAACAGGTAAACAGTGGTGCAAGCCCCAGCCACAGGGCCAACAGGCTAGGTCTCAATCCATTATCTGAAATATTTCATACCAGAAGTTGGTCTAAAATGTATCAGAAGACTAGACAACTACTAGTTAGCTTCAGCACACTGTTCTCTATCACCAGTCTGGCTATATCCTGATGTATCTTAGGCTGATTTTGTTAAAACAACTTTCAAACCAGAAGTTTGGTCCACTCAGTCCCTCTACCAACTGAAAGCCATGGTTTATTGACAGTTTACAAACCTATAATTGTTTTATTGCCGTGATTATAGTAATTGACCTATAAAGTAATTGACCTATAAAGAAAATGATTGCAAGTGCAAATAATTCTGACTCACTGGGTATGATGGCAATACCTGACTGGGACATCATCCTGTGTCAGTTTATTCTGATAAAACTGACTGTGGTCAAGATATTGACCTGATTAGACTGACCCTGGTCAAGATATTGACCTGATTAGACTGACCCTGGTCAAGATATTACCCATTCATTCTGATTACAAAGCCCTACTGCCCCTTGTGACTCAACTCAGCAGTTATTTAAGTTGTAATTCCTCCTCCCCCCACCCCCACCCCACCTGGCCATTCTAAAGATGTGTTATACAGTCAGGCATCCCCAGCTGAGGCAAATGCTGCCACCCCCCCCCCACCCCCCCTCCACACCCTTAGTGTGGTCAGTGATTAATTTGGAATTAAAAAACCAACATTTGATGAAATAGTGCTGCAATCTCAGAGATAGGTTGATATATATTATCAACATTGCTTTGGCTCTGGTACTAATATGAAATTGATTTACTTTCTGTTTGTTCTTTGGACTATGACATCATTTTATGTCATAAAGTTGTAACTTTTTGTACATTTATCATTCTAAAACACAAATTTTTGTAAAATGGTGATAATTCACAAATATTCTGATATAAATCAACATGATGAGGAGTTAAATGAAAAATTGAAAATTGAATGTTTCCATTTATAATCTACATGTTAATCTATTTCACTGTATTTCAGGCAATATTACTGTTGTTCCTATTCTGAAGACAATTGGTCTAGGATTGGGCATCTTGATTTGGGGAACTTTTAATTTATTATCAGGCTGGGCAAGTGGAAGGTGGGTAGACTAATTGAAAAAAATATTCCTCAAATCTTTTGTAAGTCATACCTAAAAATGCCCAACTGAAAAGGCTGAAAAGAGATTTGAAATATGCTAGAAAGTGAAAAATAAATATCAGAATAAGTCTGTGAGAAATTAAGACAGTATTTTGACCCTTAACTGACCACTGAAGGGCTGCAACACACAAAAGTTTGCCCAGAATCATGAATGGCCACCATAGCTTGAAGTTCATGAATGCAGAATATTACATATAATTTATTTATTTGAAAACTTTGTTATTGTGTTTTTCTTCAGGTTTGGATGGTTTGGTATTCATCCTGAGCCGCCCACTGATGTACTTTTCAATGACCTTGGAGTGACCTTGGCTGCATTGAGGTTAGTGATATTTGATTCATGATGGACAGCACTTAAATTTCAGTCAAAAAGAGACGGGCCAACTTTTGATAGATCTTTCTGCTGTAAATCTTTGGTTTAAAATTTTTTATTAACAGTAATATTCTGTTGAATCATGCATGGTTACCATTTCATTGAATTTTCTGGCAGTAGCATCTTTTACCCTGCATACATTTTTACATCATCACATCCAATTTTAAAAAATAAGCAGTTACACATATTTTAATAACTCTTGAAGAAAAAAGGAGAGAATGAAAATTTCCAAAAGATTTCTGGAGGTAAAGAAGATGCACGTGGGATGGCTTGTACAGAAATTTTTGAAATTTTATACCATTTATTTTCTACAAAACATGTTTATCAGTTGGAGGTTAAAGTGGGATTTATTTAAGACATACTTCAAAGCATGGAGATTTTCAGACTCGTGTAAACTTGTTATGCCTATATTATAATTGAATTTCTTATTGTAATTGTGAGCATGACAGAAAGTAAGAAAAATGATGATTAATTCTATAAAATTTCAGTAGTTGATGTTAAGTCATCATTTATAGCAGTGAGAAACAGCACATTTGACAATGCTAAGTGCCCTAAATGATTTTTAAGTCCTTTCATATACTTGCCACATTTTGTTTTCTTACCATTTTTAAAAAGCTGGGCACCAGTTGTCCTTGACCACCTCTGCATTATGTACGTCATACCATGTGCTTTTGATTGTTTAGTGCCTTATTCTGGATCATCGTGAAAAGTGAAGTGACCGAAACCTCTCACCAAGATGTTGATTCACCAAATGAGCGTGAGAATGACCCCCTTTTACCTCCCAAATATGTGAGTGCCCTCCCCTGGACTACAGCTGTGTGATGGCAAACGGGTGGAGCAACACAGGGGTGTCACTGCGTCTGCAACATCATGGATCTGGTGTATTACTCCTTTCTCTCTCTTTGTGGCACTAAATTACTACTACTACTCAAAAATAATTCCATGTTAGATGAAATTTAAAGGAAAGAAATAAAGAGAGAAAGGGGTCTAGCCATGAGTATGCAGATTTGTGATATTTTCCTTACAATAGTGCCAGCCATGTTTGCTTACTCTTCAATCTAATTGTCTTATAGTCTTTTTCCAAGATTTATGCATTTAATGTCTTGATATCCTGATATACAAGCTTTCAGATATGAAATAAAATAATGGTAATACAGTAGACAGGGGTTATGTTTCACTGGGCAAATTGATTGAAATGGGAATTGAGATAAAAGAAATATATGAAAAGGAAAAGAAAAGCACTTTCAGGTATTGACATCTTACATTTGCATGTTACCTTTGAAAAAGACTGTATCCTTTCCCAGCTTTGTTTCCTTCATGTCAACTGAGCCTGCTTTTATTTAACCTAGTTAGTTTTTATTATCTTTTTCTCTTTGTGCATTTAGAGGTTTGTTCTTCATGTTAGTAAAGAGCGAGGTGAGCGCTGAGGAGGCGATATCACACTCTGACAATACTACAGACATTGAAAAAGAAGCTCTAACATTTCGTGATCCCAATATGAAAGCTGACTCACCACACTCTGATACTAACCACTCAATTCCTAAGGTACAAACTCTGACTCTTCAATTAATTTTGCTAATTAAAATCGAAATAAATGAATATAACAATTAAATTTTACTTCATGGAGGGTCCCCTTTTTTCAAGTTTATTAAAACTAAATTAACTACTAAATGACATTTGAATGTTAAAAAATGGGAAAATTATAGGATGGAGGGGGGTGTCCTCTACTAACTTTTTCTGTTACTGCTTTAGAATAGTAAATTTCATTCTGAAAGGTTTTAGATATTATTGAAATTGATTTTCATTTATTCATTAACTGTTTTTCATTTCAAGGCTTAGTTTCATCATGAGATGATTATGTTGAAAAATCTTTCAGTTTGATTTTTTCTTGCACTGATGCATATTTGTATGACCTTGTATATTGTAATGTTCTATAATTGATACACGTAGATTACTATAACCATATTGGAAAAAAGGTTTTTAAGTTTTGGCTGTTTATAACTTTTTAGTACTTACATATTGATAAATAATTTAACTTGAAATTATTTACCTCTGGATGTTCTACTAACATAGATTTTTAGAAGCATCTTACGTCAAGATAATTAGATAAAAGAATCTAAGAGTAACATCCCTGTTTTGTTAATTGTTAGCATTGTCCATTCACAAGATGTCTAAAGATTTGTTGTGGATTCAATTTATTGATTATGGGAGAGTAAAATAAAGAAAATGAAAGATCAAAGTGTAGAAAATTTGAAAGAAACAAATAGCACTGTGGTTTTGAAGATCTTGTAAAGTAAGACACCTGATAGGTAAGGTGTTACAAAAATGAATTTTAGTGTCACTAATAATTCAATATTTCGATATTTTTTCAGACTCCTGCCAATATAAACTATGGAAGTGCACGGGAATTTAATGAAATTGAGATTCTGGATAGAAATCAAAATGAAACATTTATTGATAGAATGACGCCCATCCAGAAGAAAATAATGTGAGTAAAAAGCATACACAATTACAAGTACCTCTTTCAATTATACTGCATCTCTTATAAACTTTGAAGGATTTTTTTAAAGGGATAATGTCAAATGGAAGGCAAGGAAAAGTTCAGTGATGTTACATTTTTTTAGAGATTAATTATGCTCACACGTCTTAATTGCTTGTGCTGTAATTAAAATAAAAGGGTGGTAACTTCTCTGTGCTAGATTCAGGCATTGGGTCTTAAATGTTTGTTATGCAAAAGTTTCTTGTAAAAGACACTTATCTCTTTTACAATATTGATTTGTTTTTTTTAACTTAATTCATTTATTGAACAAATTTATGTAAATTTTATTTGACCTTTGACCTTTCCAGGGGTACATCAATGGCAGTGGTAGCAGGGGTATTTTATGGGTTGTCTTTCACTCCGGATATTTTCATACAGGACCATGCCAACACAACTACTAACCACACTGCTTTTTACCCTGGAGCTAGCGAGAATGGTGAGCCTTATATGTTTGTATATGTTATTATGTTAAAAAAACTGATTTTCATTCATCTAAGATTCCTCTGTGAATGAGCTTTCAAGAGAGTGACAGATGAGGTAGATGCAACTTATGAATTTACTGTTTGAAATCTTTTACAACAACAACTATTACAACAAAAAATTTTCCATGCCATTTACTTAACATATATAGGGTTTGAAAATCAGCATATTCCTTTATTTCTGGTTTGAAAATAAGGTTATAGTAATGTCATCTTAGCTTTTATATGAAGAAAAGCTACATAATATTAACCATTTCTTTCCTTTCCTCCAGGTTTGGACTATGTGTTTGGTCAATTCAGTGGAATCTATGCCACAAGCACCTTGTATTTTATCATTTACTGTATTGTAATGAAGAACAAACCGCGAGTGTACCCCCGCGCCATTCTGCCAGCTCTGGCCTCCGGGACGATGTGGGGGGTGGCATGCTCATGTTGGTTTGTGGCCAATAAGTCGCTGTCAGAACCCGTCAGCTTTCCTATTATTACAACTGTAAGTTTAACTGGTACTGTGACTTACATCTGCCTTAGAAATATTTTACTTTTGAGCTACTTGGTGTATAGCAATCTTTTTTCAATTTCCTTTTTTTTTTCACGAGGAAAATACAGTGTTTGTAAAACTACAATGACTTTTCACTAACACATTGCTACCTGATTCCTCTCCTTCGTTACATTAGTTTCCAAGTTATCAATCGGTATTACCTGTTGTGCATAATTAAAATTTGATGTTGGCTTTGCATTTAAAGTCATAATAACTCTTCATTTTGGCCAAAAATTGGATTTTCCTGGAGTAAACGGCAATTTTCCCGTACTTACCAATGGTCAGCGACCCCATTCCTGCATTCAAAGTTAATCCAGGGTTTTTTTCCTAAACGTACGGTTTTTTGTTAAAATCTCTTAAGAGATTTTAACTGACGGAGCTCTCTCTGACATCACATAGTCACTGTTGACCTACTTAAAACCGCGGGAAAAACAGACAACAACAACACTATATAAGATTCATGAGATATATTCGTCTTTTTTTTAAAAATACATTAATATCCGCAATGTGTGCCATTCTGGGCTTTTCGTTATCCGACGCACTGTACAAAAACTCGCAACTTACGTCTGCGTCTGCATTAATGCGTTTGGCGCCATATGTTATTTTGGTCTCGAATGAACGCGAGAATCCGCGTGACACCATTACGTCATTAGCAACGAATGCCTTGATGACCGGGAAGAAAAGCATCGAAAGCCCTATTGACAAGCACAGATTTTAGTTTTACTACAATAACGGCCGTTTTAGTGGTAAAATACAATAGAATATTTCCATGCGTTGTTTACAATGTATTTCATGCCGAATTTTGAATCTCAAAGGAAGAGTTATTATTGCTTTAAGTATAATGTATTATTGACAGTATCCTATTTTGTGCATTATTATTTTCGGCTTTGTGTCTGTACATTTGACAGTTTTGTTGCCTTGTTATTTTCTTCATATTAAACACTGTGAGACAGAACTGTTAATATGCTACTCTCTTCAACAGGGTCCTGGTCTGATAGCAGCATTATGGGGGATAGTAGTGTTCAGAGAAGTGAAGGTGAGTCCCATAGGGTAGGAGATCGCTTCTCTGGACCAGACAGAAGGTTTTATCATGAAGATTTTCAATAATATTTCCCTGGCTGTTCACTAGATGTGCTCATTCCCTGTGTTGACAGCAGTAAATTAACCAGGCCTCTACTTAGGAATACGTTAGCTTGAAATAAAGAAATAGAATTAGATCAAACAATGTAGTGATTAGTGACTTAAATGAAAAAACACATTATTAATGTGCAAGCCTCTGCCCAAATGTATGTAATTGGTAAGTGAAATGAATTCACAACTTGTAATAATGAATAAGATTATTATTATTATTATATTTTTCTAACTTTACTCTGTTTACTTACAGATGATGAGCCGCTATCAGATAGAGATCGGAGGAACTCAAATCAATTTTCCCAGAAATTTCATCATTGTGTCTCTAGCCTTTGCTGTTACGATAGCAGGAGCAATATTGTCAGCTTTCTCTAAAGCTTAGGACATTTACGTAATATTTTCACTCGCAGAAGTTTGATGTGCAATGTCACTGTCATGAAAACTGAGGGTGTGGGTTGTTTTGAATTATTAGAAGTATCTTTATCATTGCTATCAGAACAAAGAGGTGTGTAGTAACTGAACATGTTACCTCGACACTGTTGCTTTCACAATAGATGTTATTTGCTTTAAAACTGAGTGAGAGTGTTTATTCTTGAGTTTTTTTTTTTTTTAAGAAATTCAGGAGAGGTTCCCAATTCATGACCATTGACCATATGACAAAGATACCACTATTGCCATATTACTCTAGAAATAATTTAATTACTTTAAACGTTTCATGTAGCACTGCATTACTTGAAAATTTATCTGTGTATTATTCACAAACAGACCATCTGACCTGAACTTATTTACTTTTAGGATCATAGAAATCCCTTTTCCCCAGTATCTCTTACAAACTATTGTTTTAAGAACATACAATAAAGAAGCTCACATATAGTGAGAAGGGGACAGCTTTGGTCATATGGTAGCATACTTTATAAAGCTAGTCATTCCATGGTTGAATTCAAATACTCTCTTGTAGGGGAGCAGGTTTTTTCTATGGTAATATTTTATTTAGCACATTTTTATTATAAAAAAACTTTTACAGGCTCAAAATGTTATCCATGATAGGATCCATTCCTCTACATACATTGTAAGGTTATATTAGTTGAATGATAATGTATTTCTGTGGTCACAATTTTTAAAACTTTCAGACCTCTTTTTACACCGTCACTCTGTTTTTGGAGGTAAAGAAATCTATAGTGGCTTACAGATAAAGAATGTATTTGAAATGAATTAAAGGGTCATACAATTCTTTATTCAGAAGATTGCATTGTGATAAAGCACCTGTGTAACTGTTATTTTTACTGTGGAGTGGGGGGATTTTCATAAGAATTGTTTTAACAATTTTTAATAATAACAATGTTTAAAAAGTACAACAAATCTATGAATTTATTTTTTAAACAAGGGAATATAAAGAGAAAAAAAAACAATATTTGTTATAAGGGAAATGTTAATTGAGCCATTTATAGTTATCTATGATCATCTGTGATAAAGGTCATTTTGTCTTTTTAAGAGTGCAGCAGTTGCTATTGTACTATTTCAGATATAAATGTGTTGTTGGCAGAATGTATAAAATATTTTATCATCAAATTTCCAGAAAAATCATATCATTTAAAACTTTGCTTGTTTGTATAAGAGTATGATTATTTACCTGTTCAGGATTGACATTGAGTACTATCTGTGAAATATTAAAATATTTTATAACAGTAAAATAAAACTAAAACATAAAAATCTGTTACTAATCAGGGGCGGATCCAGAGATATTTTCTGACAGTCTTCCAAATTATCTTTCTTGGTCCATCTTCCATTTTTGACCGTCTTCCGACAGAAAACATTAGATGGCTGACAATGTAAACTTGAAAATCTGACCGTGTTCCAGAAGACCCAGAAGACGGCCTAAATCCGCCCCTGCTAATGATGTTGTTTCTGTTGAGAAAAATGTTCCAGTCATCTCAAGTAAGATATTAAGTAGATTGTCACCCTTGCCCTAGATACAGTGTCACTGCTGTTATCTTACTGAATACGTAGTGACAGCCTGGTGGGTGTAACTCTGCACATGTTATGATGAAAGCCACAGACAAAGTAGAGGTAATGCATCTCTGTGTGTGTGTGTGTTAGTGCCAGGGATCTAAGCTTTAAGGTGCTGGGCCATAGTTTGACTTGGTTTACAATAGAACAGAAAACATGGGGAAGGTCCCCAGTGGTTTGGGGGGTGAGGGGGGGGGGGGGGGGGGGTGCAGAGTGGCATTATCTGCTTAAAGAAACTTGAAATTGTATGCAGCAGGTTCAACAAGGGTCTTAACTGGATTCTTTGACTTTGACAGATCTTATGTAAATGTAAAAGGAAGTTTGAAAACCCATAACTTCCAACAAGAAGGTGACCAAGTTATGTAACTGGAAGGACTGATCACAAGATGCCAATATGTTGTCTTTTTGTTAATGTTTAACTCCTAATGTATATAAAGATAATTAGATTGTTAGGGGGTTCATACTTTCAGAGAGAAAGAGATAGATCTCAATTGAATTATTTGCATAAGTTTCAAAATTGAATATGTTTTAATTGATAAAACAACTTTTCATTGAATTTTGAGTAGTTTTTAAGTTTTTGTTTTTCTGCAATCAGTGTGTGTGTGTGTGAGCATTTACAGTGGGTCATATCTTTCTTCTTCTATTTTATTATCTCCATTACCCCGGAAAACTAACACTATTATCAAGATACATCTGTGATATATAAAACAAAGTCAACATCAGCAGTAGCAACTATGATTGATAATATGACAACATCAGATGCAACAACAGTCCTTGAGATGACAACATCAGCAGTAACAACGTTTGATAATATGACAACATCAGAGGCAACAACAGGTACAACAGTCCTAGAGATGACAACATCAGCAGTAACAACAATGTTTGATAATATGACAACATCAGCAGCAGCAACAGGTACGACAATTTTTGAGATGACAACAAGCCTGCCCCCTGGTGATGTATATCCTGAATATGTCGGCTTTATTTGTGCAGTTGGGAGCGTTCTTATTTTTGGAAGTGCATTTGTGCCAACAAAAAAATTTGAAATGGGTGATGGTGAGTGAACTCTTTCTATTTTGTTATGTATTGTGCACTTTGTTACACATAATTGATCTCAGTCAATGATAACCTTGATTGAAACTATAATTTTAGAGTATTTGTTTCCTTTTTTATTTATTTTTTCCTTAAAAAAAAAGAAAATATATTGTAAGGTAGAGGAAATTTTAATCATTAATTTCTCACTGTAAACAAAACCTATAGATTCCTTTCAACTTAACTGTCTTAAATTCTAGTCATTAAACGTATTAACAATTTAACACGTTTGTTTCTTTCAGAGCATTTTTTTTTTTTTTTTTTTTTGTGGCATCTCTGACAGCATTCTTTTGTGTATTTCAATTTAAGATATATTCTTGAAATGTTCTGATGCAAAAAATTATAAAGAAATAGGTTCATGTACAATCAAGCCAGAGTTTAACCAAATATGTTTGTCCAAGAAATGATCCATTTATGACTTCAGGTGTGTTTTACCAATGGGTGTTATGTGGCGCCATCTGGTGTGTGGGGCTGGTGGTTAACATCGTCAGAGGGTTCCCAACTTTTTACCCACTTTCAATGCTTGGAGGATTTATATGGTGTACAGGTATATCTGTGCTTTTTTTTTTTTCGATTCATAAAAAAAGTAATATTAACAGATTTAGTTATTTTATAAACTAAAACAGATATGAAGCCAAATCTTACCATTTAACATTATTTTTCTCAGAGACAGTATATTATCCATCTTAATCAGAAAATTCATGTGTTCTGATGCTGTCAACCCTGTATGCAAAGTCTAAGACTTACTTAATTTTTTCCAGGTAACATCACAGTGGTCCCCATAGTTCAGACAGTGGGTCTTGGACTTGGGAGTCTGATCTGGGGAACATTTAACCTGCTGACAGGCTGGGCAAGTGGCAGGTGGGTTTCAGAAATCCAAGTGATTGGCCTTATTTTTTTTTAGCATGATGCGTTATTTGAGCCCAATATTCTGTGTGAAAGGTGATTCAGGAATTCTTGGTGATTGGTCTGAATATATTTTGGTGATTGAGCTGTTTTAATCTTGGTGATTGGTGATTAAGGGGGGTATATTCAAGATCCCACATTTTATATTGCACTTTTTATCACTCTTGTTGAAGAGTTATATTATTGATGGATTAGAGTTAGCTGCAGTTTAAATTTATATCATAGCTCTGTGTTTTTTTAAGTAAAATCTGTAATGTTTTTTTTAAGTCACCCCATGTAATTTACTGATTCCATGCACATCTCTTTGTTGTTAGCCTCAGAATTTTTCATATAAATAATATTTTTACATATTTCATTTTCACATATATATCTGTTGTTAATAGTTTGACTTACAGTTTATCAAAGCAGTTCAGATTAATTTTTCTACCTGGCTATATGATGACGTCTTTTGTTCATTTTTCTGACTTAGATATGGCTGGTTTGGAATCCAGGCGGAGCCACCAACTGATATACTGCTGAATGATTTAGGAATAACATTTGCTTCTATAAGGTAAGTCTGTTTTTTAATAAATTTAATTGATTAATCCAGTCTAAGGCTCCGTTCACATGAAAAATCTATTTTCTAAAAATCTATTTGTGGTATCTTGTGATCACGGTCTGTGCCCTGAATACCCCACGACATAATTACGGGCAGCGCAAGCCAGTTTCTTCCAAAGCTGTAATTTAAATTTAATTTTAATTTTAATTAAAATTCTAGATGCTGCCAGACCGTGATCACAAGGTACCGCAAATAGATTTTTAGAAAATAGATTTTTCATGTGAACGCAGCCTAAATCACCATAAATTGGAAGTGTTTTTGGGATCCATGAGTAAAATTTTTATCTTTCCCTTCAAACATTATCATAATTCATGCAATATCAATGGTTTTCTTGGTTTCTTTTTCTTTACTATTTTACAGTGCCCTGTTTTGGATAATGGTGAAGGCAGAAGTAACAGAAACAACAGATATTTCTGATTCTCAGAGAATCCTCAAAGGGGAAGATGATAATGGCCCTATAATTTCTGTGAATAATGTAAGTTTGCAGTCTCCCTGTATTTGTATTCCTGTGCATGTGTGTGTGTGTGTGCTTTTATGTATTTTTGGTTTGTTTAAAAAGGATTTTTGTCTGTTGACCTTAAAATTAAGGTTAAATCGAGGATTGATTATAGAAAATAATGCCATATTTAAAGTACACCATCTGCTATTGAAAATGCCCCAAAGAAATCACTCTGCAAAGCTACTTATTTTTTTCAATCCAAGTTTAAATAAAATAAAACTCCTTAAAACAAAACTGATTTTAAAATTAATTTCTGATTTTAAGAATGGTGATGGTGACAGCACACAAAATGTTCAGATTTTTCTGACACATGAAAAATCTGTATTTATAAAAAATGATATGGTTGCAAATGTCTTGGTTTTGATTTAACACTTCGGATTGTTTCAGAAGTTTCCCATTGTAATTACACAAAAATTGGCATATTTTGAGGCCAATCAGCCATCTTTTGAGCCTGAAATTTCTCACTTTGCCTAAACTTTTTGGTCGTGTTGATTAAGATTTATTTAACATTATTTTTTTTTAGTATTTAGAATGTAATTTATCAAATCAGAGTTCATTTAAAAAGGTGCAGTAGTTACAAAGTGATCTGCTATTCTTTATCTTTTAAAAGTCTTTTGGAGCCACCGGCAGAGAGAAGAGAGAGAAAACCTACATAGATGGAATGACAGTCATGCAGAAGAAAATTTTGTAAGAAAAAGACCAAATTACATACAAAATACACACACAAATTTTCTAATGTACGTTAAAGCATAATTATAGATGATTTTACTGAAAATATGTTGTGCTGTGAAAACTTTCCTTGTTTTCTTTATTTTCAGTAAAACTACTAGGTCTTGCTATACATCCTGTAATATTTCAGAGTTGTTAGTGATAGTGTTTGTGTTCATTCTCTTTCAGTGGCACCTTACTGTCATGTGGCTCAGGCTTCTGTTATGGGATTTCTTTTACTCCTTGCATCTACGTCATGAACAACTATCAGGGAGCCAGTCAGAATGGTAATTTTATGTTGCTATGGAAACAAAGTGATTTTGTCTGCTTATGTTAGTACTAAAGACTTTATTCATTAAAGACCAAAGAAAGTAGAAAGAAAAGAAAGAAAGAAAACAGAACAGATTCAAAAGTAGATGAATAAAGAAGAAAGGAATGTTTCCAATAATTATATTATTATACTTTCTAGGTCTGGATTATGTCTTTGGTCACTTCAGTGGGATCCTGGCTACAAGCACCCTTTATTTCCTAATATATTGTGCAGCCAAGAAGAACCGCCCCAGTGTGTTCCCGCGAGCTATACTCCCTGGTATAGTGTCTGGGGCTATGTGGGCAGTGGCATACTCTGGGTGGTTTGTGGCCAATGAGGCTCTCAGTGAACCTGTGGCATTCCCAATTATTTCAACCGTGAGTTAAAACTAGCCATCAACTTTGCTCATGTAGTCACTATGGCCAAACCCAGAACAGTGGACTTTCTGGTCAAATATGGCGACCCACTAAAGCTTGCCGTCTGATCCGCTAATAGGCACTGACCATGGGGAAGTGTTCAAGGGGGCGGCCATATTTGACCCTCGGACTAGTAAGTCCACTGTTCTGAATGCTGCTTATGTACCATGCATTTTGATAGAGTTCTCGTCATAGGGGATTCTCCATTTCCACTAAAACAAAATCTTGGTTTATGCTGTGCATACTTTTATATTATAAACATGATCGGTCTTATCACATAAAAATCTATCAAAATTAGGTTTCCTTTTCCATAGGAAACTAACTAATTATAAACTGTTGTGGTTTATATGTTTGTTTTTCTCCAAGGGGCCTGGTCTGGTGGCTTCAATATGGGGGATAGTAGTGTTCAAAGAGGTCAAGGTCAGTGACAACACGGTGTATTAATGATATATAGTTAAAGGGATAACAACTGTTCAATTTGTTAAAAAAAAAACTGATTTTCTTAGGGAAAACAAGGATTTTCCCATAATTACCAATGGTTAATTCCAACATTCAAAGTAAGTCCATGTTATTATTTTCTAAAAAGTTTGTTTTTTAGAAATAATTTCTTACAAGACTATTTCAGAGGTATAACCATTCATGGTCTGACGGCAAACACAGTCTAGCATAAGTGCAATAACCACTGTTTTGGTGGTAAAATGGAATTTATTATATTTCTATGTTGTTTAAAATGAATTTATTGTGAAATATGGATCTCATATGAACAGCTGTTATTCTTTTAAAACAGATGGTAGATTATTAAAAAAAAATCTTTTTCATCACCAACAATCCTCTTTTTAACTTGTGCTTGTATTTTAATAACTTCCTAATACAGATTATGTGAAAAGGAAAGGATTAAGACTCATGTCACCCTAAATGTGTGTGTGTGTATTTTTTTAAATTCTGCAGTAGCATAACAAAACACATTCTTGCTATATTTCTAAATTAATTTTATAAGTTTAATTACCCATTCTTTGTATCTTTCTTCCAGATGATGAGCCGATATGAGTTCATATTAGCAGGAAAACAGATTATGTTTCCCAGAAACTTTATTACATTACTTTTAGCAATCGTTGTCACGGTAACTGGGGCAATACTTGCAGCATTTTCAAAAGCATAGTCTTCATACTTTAATTACCAACTAACTGGACCTTGTTATATTGATTTGGAATCATAGTGAACTTGAAGTTGTATAGCAGTTTGAGTTTTTTTTCATAACTTTTTCATTCCTACTTATTTTGTAACCAGAGAAATTATCAAGTTTGACAAATGAAATTTGTACAGAATTTATAACAGGGGGATAGAATTTATGGATCAGAGGGTAAATAAAATCTCATCTGGAGCAGGATAAACAGAGTATTGAACAGGAAAATATAAATTATGGATCAGAGGGTAAATGGCGCTCTTTTAGAGCAGAATGAACAAAGACTTTTATCACCTTCTTTCCAATTTTCAGGGAGGAGACTGCCATTTAGTAAAAAAAAAGTCAGAAAATATGACGTTGGGTACAGGGGGCCACCTAGGCCACTGATATTGTTGGCTCCCAAAAGTTGGAAAAGTCTCATCCCTGAAACAACTATGCCCTTCGTCAAATTTTCTGTGTGATTTTCCCTGTCAAATCATATTTTCCTCAAGAAAATATATTCTTCCACAAACAAATCCTTGTTCCACCAATCCCTGTCCTTGGATTTGATATTTTGATATTTTATAACATTTCAACATAAACATTTAACTTCAACTGTTTCTCGTAAAAATTAGCTCCTTACTTTCTGTACATCACTGGACACATAATCACTGTAAACACTTTCTGTTGAACTTCTTAAGTGTGTTAAGTTTCTACATTTCAAGAGGATTGCGTTAAAATCCACTTAACCCTCAGTTTTTATTATTAGTATAAAAGACAGCATGATGTTAAAATAAAACAATTTATTGAAACAAACCAACAGCAATAATTGTCTGGAAGAGTCCACTATTGCATGTGATCTACTGTGAAGTAAAGAAAAGCAGGTCCAGCGAGTTCCTGTGACCTCTTTGTTTATCTTATTAAACACACACACATTGAGAGAGTTTTTGGTGCCAGTGGAATATGATGGCTAGATTGTTACGTATATATGTAAACGTACCAAGTAACCTGCTATCTCTTTTCTGGTTGTGGTAAGTGTTTCAGTACAATAGCCTTTCCTACCATATATAGGAACCTTAGTGTACTTCCTGCAAATATGAAAACTTTATGCACCTATAAAAATTAATCTACAACTGACCTTTTTCTGGCAAAAATGCAGGTTTGTTTGTAGCCTACGAAGCATCCCTGGCTTTGTGTCTTATAAATCAAAACCAACGTACGTCTCATCTCGCCTAAGCAGTCGGAACATTTAACATACACTTGGACTATTGTAAAAAAAGGATGTAGGGCATATAAATGAGCAAACATTGCCTTGATTATTAATGTTATTCTTCCACACTGACCAGATAGGAATACTTGTATTCTACAGATCCCATCTAACAACTGGATAGATATGAACGCGGTCAATGTCACAAATGTATGCATATACCAATGATGTATTTATCTAGCCAGCGTATTCCACTGGCAATGAAAACTCTTTATTTTGACAGTTATAAACCTTAATATAAATGAAAAAATGATGTATTTTCGTGTTCACTCTAATCATCAATAAGCAAATAACCCAGTTTCAATCTATTTGGCATTTTTTTCCATGTTGAGTTCACTTTTTTTCCACCTGCAACAATCAAGCACCTCAATTTCCCTGTGCTATAAACTATTCCTTTACTAACCTGTCTCAGTTTCAACTCATCATAGGTTTGATGACATAGACTGCCAAACACTTTCTATTACTTCATATCATTTCACATATCCTAACAGAAAGTCCTGAGACAAAAAGACTACGAAAACCTTTCCCTGCTCTCAGCACTGACTTCCACTTCCTCCTGGATATCTTCAGATGCAGGGGTTCGGAAAAAATTCCATTGGCTCATTTTTATGTTGTAAACCATTTTCTTCCAGGTGATAATGCGTGTGGGATGCCATGGTTCCAAAACATCACGGTAGTAAGGTGGGGCTGCAAATAGTCAACAGAATATTCCATCCATTAAAAACTTAAAGTACTATATATATCTGGGGTGTTCCATAAAAAATGACCTATTTTACTTTACATCTCAATTTTGACATACACAGAGTTGCCAACCCAAGCTTTCATAAAATCAAGAGCCAAATGAAAAAAAAAAAAAAGTAATTTCAAACAAAAAACAGGATCATTACAAATATATTTTATTCACTCACAGAGAGTACAATCTATGATAATAATTCACATTATCTCTATATGTTGCACTTTTGGCAGCTTTTAGCAACTCGTCATCATACTGTCATTCAAAGCACATACAACATTTGCCCATTTTTCTTAACAACAGATTGTTTAATGTTTCAACAGCCATGTTACTTCTGAATTCATTCAAATTTTCCCCTACAACAGAAAATATCCTCTCACAATCTGAGCGTGGTCACTCGCTGCCAGGGAAATGTGGCGTTCAATAAGGAAATCGGTGTACAAAAGCTCCGCTCTGGTGACATTTTTCTGAAATGCAGTTTCTTGGTTTGTAATGGCTAACAATGAACCAGAGACCTGTTGAGTATTTTCACATTTTTTGTGAGCAGCACAATTCAAATGGGCTTTAGTGTCTGTTGCACCCCCACCTTGGATTGACAAATCTTTGTCACATACTTGACAGTACACGAACAATTTCCCCTTTTTGAAGGTGTAATGCACGGAAATGTGTGACTCCAATCACTCAGGTACTTCTGTGTAATTTTTTTCCGTTTAGCATCAGGTACACTTACAGTGTTACGCCCTCTGCCTCACATTTAGACTCGGTAAAATTATCATCCATTTCAAGAGTTCAAAATCACGCCATCTCCACCACGTGTCTCGTGACAGACAGTGGGAAGTCACATACTTAACATTGACACGCATGTGCAATCTGCTGCAGGGGATACACACAAAAGACACACGGAAAAAACCTTTCAATCGAATAATACTGTCAACATTATTAACGATGATGTATTTCAAAAGTCAGAAAAAATAATAGAAAATCAGTAGCACGGAAACGTATACTAAAAATCGGGAAAGTTCCTATAAAACAGAATAATTGGCAACTCTGTAAACATGTAATTAAGATATTCCCAACTTTTTCCACCAAATTGTTCCATAAGGATGACCATTATATCCTTGAAAATTCTGCAGAAATTGAAAATCTTTCAGGTGGTCAAATTTCAATAATTGATAAAGGCTTCGTTCACATGGAACGTCTATTTTCTAAATTCTATTTTCTATTCGCGCTATCTTATGATCACGGTCTGTGCCCTGAATATCCCGCCGCGTAATTACTGGCAGCGCGAGCCAGTTACTTATAGTAACTTATAGTAACTGGCTCGCGCTGCCAGTAACTACGCCGCGGGATATTCAGGGCACAGACCGTGATCATAAGACATACCGCAAATAGAAAATAGATTTTTAGAAAAGAGACATTCCATGTGAACGAAGCCAGTGTTCTATCCATACTCCTCCCAGCTGAAAAACGGCAGCCACATGAACACTGAAATTGGTAACGACTCTTCCAATCATGTCAGCCGGACTGTTCCTTTTCTTTGTATTTTGATCTTCATAGTGTCTAAATTTTGAGGATTGTTAGCATAGATTCTTTCCTTAAGATACCCTCCAAAGAAAGAAATCTGGGGGATTGAGATCTAGCGAGTAGGGTGGCCAAAGAAAGTCCGTGTGACATGAGATGATGATGATGATTGAAATCTGGCAACCTTACTTAAAGGTTTCAATTTCTGCAGAATTTACAATATCTTAATTATATCAAAATTGAGATGGAAAGTAAAATAGGTCAATTTTAAGGACTTCCTTGTAGAGAGAGAGAGAGAGAGAGAGAGAGAGAGAGAGATGTGGACAGTAAATAGAAAATCCTACAATATACAAAGTGACCAAAGACATACTGAAACTTTTCAATGACTAAACTTTGTACTTGATGTGGACAACAGAATTTTTTTTGCTTCCACAGTGATTTGGTTAAAAATTTTTGGTTATAAATAACCCCTTTAAGGAGTTTCTCTAGAATTTGCATCTGTGCAGAATTCGCACATTAGTAATTCATCTAATTATTTATCATTTACATGGGTGAAAGTTGTAAAAACAGAGAAACACATAGCTTGCAATTTTTCATTACATTTAGACAATGTGATTAAAAATAATCAAAATGAAGACTGAAAATCCAGAAATAGGGCATAGACCTGAAATTTTTCCTCCATGTCATTAATCAGTAATTTACTCAGAGTAAAGATGCATCTACTCACGGGGCACATCGAAGAGTTCTGGGTGTAGACGGATGTATTCCTTAACGTTATGGTCTCTTATCCTCTGATACCTCATTCTCAAGTTCTGTGCGCTGACTCCTAAAAATGCCCCAACTGCTAAACCAAGACCAATACTTGGCACTCCTGAGGAAAAAAAAAACATGTTCTAACAACAGTGCACCCTTCACACCTACAAGCTAACGGCCAAAGTTTATCAATGCTATTTGCATGCTGGGAAAAAGTGTAAACTTTTATTTTGTTTAATTATCCATGCCTGATGCATGCACAGGGGTGACTCTATAAGTTAAAAATCCAGAAAGATACTTTGCCTAGGCTAGAGGGGTCACTCTAAAATGGGTAATATAGCACACCAAGGTACACTACAGTAATGAAGCTGTGGCTACAGACTGCCCATGGCTTATTTCACCCTGTTTTCTTACACCATGAGCCAAGAAACCTTCTAATTCTGGACAGGACCCATGCTCTGAGTTCACATGAGAATAGGCTGAAGACAAAGATGCCATGCGGCTGCCCCTGCCAAATTTTGTCTCATTTAATGCTCACTTACAGTTCTCAATCTGTCCTAGAACATAATGCTTTTCTCTATTAATAAAAAATGTTCTCAATCTGTTTTAGGACATTCTGAAGGACTTCCCAAAAACAGTTCTTAAACTGTTACATTCATTACAGAACAACATTAGAACTGTAAAAAAATACACCAAATGTTCTAGAATAGATTGAGAATGGTAAGTGAATGTTAAATGAGACAATTTTCCACAGGGGCAGTGGACAGGTAATTTGTGACAGACCTAAGAATGCAGGGCACATCAGGCATTAGAAGGTTTCTTGCCTCTAGTTAGTGAACTTTGCGGAACATGTGATATTTCGGTATATTTTTGTGTACATGAGATTTATAAATGAACAATAGGAGGTTATAGCCTGTACCACAAACTTAACGTTCTTTATTGTCTCTATCAGGGTCAATCGGAATTTTGTGGTATTTATTCAGAATGCTTTGACCAATTTTGATTATTATTGCTTTTTTTTCATTACGTTAAACTACTATGGCAGTCTAGGGTCGTTTTACAAGGTTTTTAAGTTTATGCATCAGGTTTATAAATCATAGAGTGATTTTACGACAGTTGTTTACTATCCAATCAAGGTGACAACTAAGCGTCACCCTAGGAAGACAACATTAGGTAAAATGTTCGGTACTTTTGTAGTATACCCCCCCCACCCTGTAACTTTCGCTTTTCAAATATTTTTTTACAGTTTTTTTACATTTTCTTATTCATCTATGTCAAAACTGTTTAAATAAAATGTTTTTGTAATTACCTGTGGTCTTTTTCAAGTTTTAATCAAGTTTAATCCATCCCATTGAAATAAAATGTGAGAATCTACCTGTGGTAGGCTAACTCTAAGGCTACATGACTTTCAGTTTTGACTTGTACTATAGACAGTGGGGAAAACACATCTGAAAATTGTTTTAAAGAAATTCAGTAAATATTAAAAGGATTATGAAGTTTCTGTGATGTCCCATCATTATAAAACATTTTGTTTTCTCAATGGAAATAAAAACCTGGAAGTCAACTTCAGTCCCTTTTTATGTACAGACACAGATGTGTCTGTACATATAGCCATCATCTGCGTCTGTCGTCGTCGCCGTCGTCGCCGTGCACTTTTACCGATAACACGATAAGTGGAAAACCATTCTACCTTTTGACTTGAAACTTGCAGAACTGATGAATATTCATAATATGCAGGTCAAGTTCGAAAATCAGCATGATCGGGTCACTTTTAGGGAATTTATGCTGTTTTTTCACTTTTTTCAGCATATATGCAGCACCGATAACACGATAAGTGGAAAACCATTTTACCTTTTGACTTGAAACTTACAGAACTGATGAATATTCATAATACGCAGGTCAAGTTCGAAAATCAGCATGATCGGGTCACTTTTAGGGAATTTATGCTGTTTTTTCACTTTTTTCAGCATATATGCAGCACCGATAACACGATAAGTGGAAAACCATTTTACCTTTTGCCTTGAAACTTACAGAACTGATGAATATTCATAATACGCAGGTCAAGTTCGAAAATCAGCATGATCGGGTCACTTTTAGGGAATTTATGCTGTTTTTTCACTTTTTTCAGCATATATGCAGCACCGATAACACGATAAGTGGAAAACCATTTTACCTTTTGCCTTGAAACTTACAGAACTGATGAATATTCATAATACGCAGGTCAAGTTCGAAAATCAGCATGATCGGGTCACTTTTAGGGAATTTATGCTGTTTTTTCACTTTTTTCAGCATATATGCAGCACCGATAACACGATAAGTGGAAAACCATTTTACCTTTTGCCTTGAAACTTACAGAACTGATGAATATTCATAATACGCAGGTCAAGTTCGAAAATCAGCATGATCGGGTCACTTTTAGGGAATTTATGCTGTTTTTTCACTTTTTTCAGCATATATGCAGCACCGATAACACGATAAGTGGAAAACCATTTTACCTTTTGCCTTGAAACTTACAGAACTGATGAATATTCATAATACGCAGGTCAAGTTCGAAAATCAGCATGATCGGGTCACTTTTAGGGAATTTATGCTGTTTTTTCACTTTTTTCAGCATATATGCAGCACCGATAACACGATAAGTGGAAAACCATTTTACCTTTTGCCTTGAAACTTACAGAACTGATGAATATTCATAATACGCAGGTCAAGTTCGAAAATCAGCATGATCGGGTCACTTTTAGGGAATTTATGCTGTTTTTTCACTTTTTTCAGCATATATGCAGCACCGATAACACGATAAGTGGAAAACCATTTTACCTTTTGCCTTGAAACTTACAGAACTGATGAATATTCATAATA